TTTTTTTTTATTCCACATAACTTTTTGAGATCTACGTAATGACATCTCATTTGGGATATTTTGTCTGGCACAAAAAAAATTTGAATTTACAACAATCATACCATAAGAACGTTTAAACACAAATTAATAAGAACGTTTAAAAAATAGGAGAAGGTTATAGTTACTACCTCTTTATTAATTTGGGTTTTAACCAGTGTTATGAAACCCGGACCGACCCGGGAACCGGTAAATCGGTCATATAACCGGTCTGGTTGAAGCAACAGACCGGTTATGTATCAGAACCGGTGCGACCCGGTTCGACCCGGCCGGTTTTCATGAAAACCGGTGACCCGGTCGGTTAACCGGTGACCCGGGCCGATCCCAAAAAAAAAAGCATAATGGACATATTTGAATATTTTTTTGCTTATTGACTTACATAAGTTATGAACCTACAACACTAATATTATCTCAATTATGCGCTATGTAGGAAATTTTGATTTGATTTATAGTTAGAGATTTCGTTTTCTTAACCTAAAGTCTCGTATCACGATCATTATATTTTTGTTTGATCTTTTATTGGATAATAATATGTCATTTATTATTTATTATATTAAAATATTTGAAATATTTATCATTTTTTTAGATTTTTGAGTATGTTTATAATTTTTAATATAAATTATAAAATTGCATATAATTACCGGGTCATGCGGTTGAACCAGTGACCCACTGGTTAAACCAGTGACCCAATACCTCGACCGGGTCAAGGACCGGGCCGGTTTTAATAACATTGGTTTTAACCTTCTCCTTTATCCTAATTAAAAAGTGATTTTCTCTTTATTAATTTGGGTTTAAACGTTTTTATGGTATCATTGTTGTAAATTCAATTTTTTTGTGACAGACAAAATATGCCAAATGAGGTGTCATTACGTAGATCTCGAAAAGTTATGTGGAATCAAAAAGAATTACCTAATTCGGACATCCGAGTAAAAAGTTATGGACTTCTAAAGTTTTACGGTTAAACTATTGACTTTTGTGCCACGTGGCAGCACCTAGTGAAATACGCCCAAATGGAGAGTGTCTCTCTCCTGGGTCACGCCCAAATGGAAAGTGTCTCTCTCCAACCGGTCACGTCCATGTGTGGCGTGTTTAACTGCTATACCTGCATAAATAGTTTCAAAACGACTATATTTAGTAATTATTTATTAAAAAAGCAATAAAGTAATTTTTTTCCCACTTAAATATCATATACTAACACTCTTCTCATATTGCCAGGCAAGATATTTTAACATTTTTAGTTTCTCTGTAATTTTTTTAAAAATGATCTAAATTATACACACAGCTCATATAATTTATACAAGTATATTCATGTACAAATGATTCAATGTCTGTTTTTTCATTGCTCAAGCATTTTTCTCTAGAATAGAGCATGGTATGATGACAATAATTCCATACTTGCATGACAACTTGAAAAGCGGACCCGTTTGTTGCTTTAACATCTTATGTTATCACAATGGTCAATGATTTTCTCATGCTATTGGAGAGGAGGAAATCTCCTACACACTCAAATTCAAGGTGGGACTCACACATAAAAAATAAAGAAAACAAAAAAAATTATTACACGCAAAGCGAACTCTCACTAACATGAGAAGAGAGGTCTACTACAACATAAGAATTCTTTTTCCCTATCACAATACCTTCATTAATCAAATGTCGAAATTTAGATAAAAAATTTCCTAATTTGAACTTCAGATTTTGGAGTAGTCTTAAAATTGAAGTATTCTATGGTCATGTACTACAGTTCTAACCCTTTTCTTTGACCTTGATACCAAAGTCCAAAACAAAAGGATCAGTAAGCAAACCTTGTCATCATCCCTTTAATTATTCTAGTCAGTAAGCAATTTTAGTGTGAAATATATGGGACGGTTGTTAATTAGGGAGGTGCAAAATAACTAAAAAATTGAATTGAACAGTAAATCGAACTGAACTACACTTAAAATAATCGATTTTTAAAAAACTAGTTCATGAATCGAATCAGTTTTTAAAGAATTAGTTCATGAGCGGAACTAATTTTTAAAATCATTTCAAAAACTAAACAATTTTTGAACCGAATCGAATTGTTTTTTAACCGAACCGAGCTGATTTTTATTATTTTATTTCTTTAATTTTTTAATTTTTTTCTTTTCGAAATAGGGTCGACCCGAACCGATTCCGCATCGAATCATTTTCGAATTGAACAGAACAAGTTTTGAAATGAACCGAACCGAATCAAATCAATTTTGAACTGAACCGAATTATTTCAAACCGAACTGTTTAAATTAATTCTGTTCATTTTTTTAAAAAAATTCAGTGCAATTTGACCGATGCACAATCCTATTGTTAATTCCCCTGCACTAATGAACTTAAAATTCTATCTTTAACTTGTTTTTCTAACAATATCATGCATTTTTAGATTTAGTTGTTGACTTCCAAAGTACAAGAAAGCTAGCTGTTGTTGCTCAAGAATTCTGATTAATTGATGTCACTTACGCAAATAATTCAGTTCAACAGGCAAGTTGGATAAGAGTGTTCCTAATATCTCTTGAAAGAAAGGGTTCTCAGTTTAACAGGAAAACTTTGTTGTCCTCCTAGATGCTTTTTTTCATGTAGTCAAATGATTATTGGTATGTTCATTCTGCTTATGGATTGCAATTCAAGCATAGGGCGATCTAAGTTGTTGACATGTCCTCACTAGTGCTAAATAGATGGCACTATTTAAGTTTTTGAGTAGCAGATATGAGGAAGGAAGGATAAGATATTAAGCTAGATGCGTGGTTATACAAGGATGGATAAAATAAGAAATGAAGATATTCGACGAAAGGTAGGAGTAGTACCAGTAGCCGAAAAGATGATAGAACATAGATTGAAGTGGTTTGGGCACGTGATGAGAAGGCCCCTGGATGCTCCTGTCAGAACAGAAGTTTGTTACCAAGAGCTCAACACAAAAAGAGACAGAGGTAGGCCGAAACTTACTTGGGGAAAAGTAGTAAAACAAGACTTAATGGAGTGGGATATAGATTGGCGAACGGTATGTCTTAGAACGGAATGGAGAAAAGCTATAAGTATGGTGGAGGGTTAGACCCGTTGTTATTCCTATGTTCCAGATGGTCTCTTTTTAGTCTTTTTCGCCTTAATTTTCCCCACTTCTTCTTTTCCCTTTCTTTTTTACTTTTATTTATTTATATATACATATATATATATTACTACTTCTCGTTGTTGTTTTTTTTTTTCCAACCGTTTTGTATCTTTCATGTGGGTTCATCTACCACCGACTCCAATTAACTTAGGATAAAGGTGATGTTGATGTTGATATGAGGAAGGAAGGGAGCACAATGAAAATGGTGAAGCCTCACTATTTGTCATGCTTAGAGAAATATATGGAGGCACTCATCTTTTGAAACTCTATTGTGTCACATGTTACTAAGTTGAAGGAAAGTAAAGTTTTTGAACCAAAAAAGTCTGTTAGCTAAAGGAGAGTTATTTAAAATTTGTGGGAAACAGGTAGAGTGAATAGCTATTTGCCTATTTGTTTCATTACATGAGTAGAAAACTTAGGCTTGCAGTTCAGGTGATGGCTTCATTGCAAAATTTCAGTGGTTTTGGTTGAATAATAAAGTTGGTTGTGAGAAGTGATGCTGAAGAGGGAAGGGAGGGTTTTGGGAGTATATTACTCTTTTGATATTTTTTGGCATTATCATATTCATCTACTGAAGCCCAAAAATTCCTTTGTATATATGTATGTTGCCATCTTTTCCTTTAGAACTGGGGTGTTTAACCATTTACTGAGTTGGATAATATTAGAAGCATGTAGATTTTGTTTTTGTTTTGAGGGAATAAATGAGAAAAATCCTTACAAGCAAACAAAGCTGAGGCTCAGAAGAAAGAGAAACATGCATCCCTGCAAGAAAGACTAAGCTAAAATTCTTTGAAAAATACCTACGAACTAACATCTTATAAACAAAATTCTATACCAAAATGAGAATTTGACAATTTCCAAAGGTGCAATTCTCAAATAACAGCTCCTAAGTAGGGAACTTCCATACCAAAGTTTGTTGCTTATTTCTTTTCTTGGGGGTGAGTCTTCTCATACTTTGTCAAATTAAATAATGAGAATCATACTCTGAACTTCTTGAGTAATAACACATGACTTTTGATTTTTGTCTACATTTCAATTGTTATCTCATGCAATGCACTTTTAAGATAAGGTTGTTGCACCGTTTGGTTGAGTGCATAGATTTACTTATGGGTATAACTATGTGTGGATCTTATATTTTCAACATGTATGTTTGGCCATTAATCAACCAAGCATGATAAGCCCCATCATCCTCCCTACCACCCCCTCTTCTCCCATGTACACATTTTGCTTATCTACTTTGCTAATGTGACTTTCAAACAAATCTAATAAAAAATAAGTATGCTACAAAAATTTTTGAGTAATAATACTAAATGGATTGGCCCACGTAATGGTGAAGAGAGAAGCACATTTTCCACTACCCAACAAAAGGGATAAGAATGCCAGTTGAACAAATTTACCTTTTTACCTCTGCCTCCACCAAGAGCCAAAGCCCACTTGATTCTCACTCTTAGCATAAAAAAACAACACCTTAGCAAAGAGACAAAGGGTATTATTCACTTAACCCATATCTTAGAAATTATGGTCACATACATGTTAAAAGAGTCCAATATGGAATGGATCATGCGGCAAAGACTCAAAAAAAATATCAATTCCACCTCCATCACACATTTACCATCTTCCAAGGAAGAGATAAGATTATGGATCTTCTTCCACGTGGCATTGACATAGTGGTGCTTAATGATAAGGCTACCTTTCAAAAAAAATTCATTCTCGTGTGGCTAATATGATGTAATATCATCACATATATCATCCAACGGATAAAATTTTTCATCAACCAATCCCTTCAATTTCAGACCCTTGGATTAGTAATATCCAAATTAAACCATTATATATAGCAAGTTTCAGTAGGAGCTTAAGCAGTTCAAGCAAAGCACATCTCCTTAGTAGTACTAAGAGGAGAAAAAAAAATGGCTTCCTCTATCATTTCCTCCCCGGCTGTGACCACTGTTAACCGTGCTTCCCCAGCACAAGCTAGCATGGTTGCTCCATTCACTGGCCTCAAATCCATGGCTGGTTTCCCAGTTACCAGAAAAACCAACAATGACATCACCACCATTGCAAACAATGGTGGAAGAGTGCAATGCATGCAGGTAAAACACCACCCCAAATGATTAAAATATATGTTACATATATTTGTATAACATAAGGTTTACTTAAATTTAACATAGGATTCATTTTCAAATGTGCACAACTTCAAGTTTGGTAACCCTTTTGCTCAAATTTTATGCATATTACTAGGTGTGGCCTCCAATTAACAAGAAGAAGTTCGAGACTCTTTCATACCTGCCTCCTCTCTCCCCTGAGTCATTGGCAAAGGAAGTAGAATACCTTCTTAGGAAGGGGTGGATTCCTTGCTTGGAATTTGAGTTGGAGGTTAATTTTACTTGAAACCCTTTTTGCTTCTTAATTTTCTTAGTTTTGAGTTTTGATGGTTTGAGTGCGAATCTTGGAGCAGCGGTAAGGTTGCTCTATTGTGAATATAAGAAACAGTCTTTTTGCAAAAATGCAAGGTTAAGACTGCATACAATAGACCGTCACTCTTAGTACTCTCCCAAGTTGGGAAGAGTTGTGCATTATTGGAGTTTGCCCTTTTTTGAATTTTGATGGTTGATTTGTTTGTTATCACTTGGTGTGTGTTTGTTTCTTTGTTTATAGCATGGTTTTGTGTACCGTGAGAATAATAGGTCACCAGGATACTATGATGGACGCTATTGGACAATGTGGAAGCTCCCTATGTTTGGTTGCACTGATGCTTCTCAAGTGTTGAAGGAGCTTGAAGAGTGCAAAAAGGCATACCCCAGTGCTTTCGTCAGAATCATTGGATTTGACAATGTTCGTCAAGTGCAATGCATCAGCTTCATTGCTTTCAAGCCACCTAGTTTCTAAATTTGATAAAATTTGCATACCATTTGTTGCCATCTCCTTCGTTTGTACTTAACCGTTGTAAGAACCTTTTTTTAATATTTCCCATTTGTTTTTTCTCTTTGAGGTTTCATCCTGTATTTTTGGTTTCTGTTTTCGGATTTCCAATGGAAATGAATGGATGAGAATAACTACTGTTGCTTTATTCCCATTTTTACTCTTATTAAGGAAAACCATTATCCTTGGATTTACCTCTATAGTGGACTGAAATTTTTACTTAAATTGAAGTTAAAAGTGCCACTAAATAATGGTCTTTGCCATACATTTGAATTATAAATGTGCTTATTATTATAGTTTGGTTCTCCGAGATATGAAGTAACATTTGATTTGAAAGCAAACAGCTTCGAAATATGACTAATGTGAACATAGTTTCATGTCATTCTATTTAAGTAATGACTTGCAATCATGTTACCAGGAAACTCATGAGCTTCCAAAACCGATTTTGAATTCCATAATTCTTGCAGAAACACAGATATTTGTATAGCTTTTGTTGCTATTTCAGAACTTAATTGTGCATCATTTGTAAACTTTTGGTTTTGAATTCTCAATAAACAAAATGGGAAAAAAACTACTATAAAACACAAACGTTTGGTATGTGCAAAGAAAGAGAAAGACATATCAAGGTTATGTTGGTTTGAGAAACATTCCTTTTGAAGCAATTAACACTAAGGAACTGGCACTATATCATTTTATTTATTTATTTATTTTTGCCATTTCTCACTGTCTCTGCAATTTACAAATCTTAATTTGGAAACGGCAAAAATTCAAACTCAGCTGGACCTGATCATGATCTGGTATTATCAATTAATACATTTTTTTTTTTTCTAAAACTGACCAAATCCAAAGCCATATACTAGTTCGGTTTGTGCACGGTCAAATCACTTGACCATTTTTTTTATTCCTCGAACCCGAGATTTCTAATTAAAAAGAATAAGTTCTTTATCATTTAAACCAATGATTATTGGTTCATTAGTTCTTGCTTTATCTTTTGTTTGTAACTTGCTGATAGTCATGTGATTACCAACTGATAAATCATTTAGCGGTCCTGAGTTTTGACATGTAATAGGTAACGAGTGAAGATATTCTAATTACTAAAAAAATTTATTACTAGCTTACTACTCATCACTTCACCATTGGATCAAAGAGAGAAAATGTTAAAAAAAAATTTGAAAAGAGAAAAAACGATTAAATAAGTAATAAGTTAGTAATGAAAATTTTTAACAGTGAGAATAACTCTCCTCGTAGGTAACTTATCTTGAAGCCTTTTTATTTTGTAACCTTCTTGAAGCCTTTTAGGTTGCATTAATATTTAGAGTGGACCCCTTAGATAGATACATTTGATAGATACATTTGTGAACATGGTCACATTAAGATAAAGAAACAGATAAGTTGTTTCATATCCTTTAGTCCCAAGACCACATCATACCATACATTTATAAAACATGACATACGTCAAAATCAATAGTTTTAAGCGAGTTACTAATCTTATGTTGCTTGAGATAATTCTCTCATGTGTGTGAGATAAATATGTGGGATCCACATTTTAAAACAAAAGGAAAAAGAAATGGAATAAGCTGGCACAAAATTTGATGAGTCCATAACATGAGATAGTTATCTCTAACGAAATGAGAAAAATATTTTCCTAGTTTTAAAGATACAAATCAAGATGATACTTATTCAAATATTTATCTGATTTCTTTATTTCATTGGTCATTATATAGATAACGAACACGAACGTGAAGAATCGATAATATAGTCTTTTGTTATATAGGCTATGTTTGAATACTGTTTTAATTTTGTAAACAGTTTTTTAGTTTTCAGAATAAATAAAAAAAGACATTTGATAAGTTTTGTTTTGTAAAACAAAATTTATAAATTGTAACTGTTTTTTTTTATTTTTTGAATCAAATTTAAAGAACATGTGTAAGTTGTTTTTGTTTTGTGTTTTGATTTTTAACTTTCAAAATAAAAATAAAAAATACATAAAACACATGTTTCATAATTATTCTACAAAATAATTTTAAGAATAAAAAAAGGCCTAAATGTTTCTACAGTGAATGTAGATAAATTATCTATATTCAAGGCTCGTTTGGTGGACATGATAGGATAATGGTAGGATATGATATGGGGATGATAAGGGTAGGATATGATATGAGGCTGATAAGCCTATATCATGTCATGTGTTTGATGAGCACCTGATTAGCAATCTTATAAGATTATGTAGAAGGAGAAAGGAGAGGGAAAAAATAAAATATAATGCAATAAATACAAATATATTGGATAGCGTGAGGATATGTTGGATAGCGTGAGAATATATTAGGTATCCAATATTGGTATCCTATCCTATTGAATCCTAACCCAGCTCCCCCTATAGGATAAGAAATCATGTATTAGATAGGATAAAATGAGACAATAGGATAAGCTAATCATATCCTATTGACTCACCTAACAATTGATAAAAGTAGGATATGATAGTTATCTTATCTTATCTTCTTTATTAAGTGCTCCAAACAGGCCCTCACTCTCAAAACGACGTCGTTTTAGGTTGAAAAATTAAAAAGTTATAATAAGAAGAGGTAGGTTATACTTACAATCTATTTTTTTTACAACCTCTTACAACCATATCTTAACACAGTTGATTTCTGCCAATCAACGGTTATGATTTTCGTAAATTAAAGTCATTAATTAATTATTAATTCACAATAAATGTTAACCGTTGATTGACGGAAATCAACGGTGTTAAAGATATGGTTGTAAGAGATTGTAAAAAAAAAAAGTTGTAACTATAACCTTCCTCTATTAAGAAAGACTATTATAACCCTGAAATAAATTATAATTACAAAAATATCTTGATTTCTGCCCCAAAACGATGCCCTTTTGGGCTCAATATAGATTACTTATCTACATTAACCACAGAAAAAGTGAACCCATAAAAAAATAACAACAGAATCAAACAAACCATAATCTTGAAAATGGAAAATTATAAAGGACAATCCGTGTAATTAGCTTTCATCAGCATATTGAAGTTTGAAGAGAGTAAATGAAACACAAGTGTGGTGGCTAAGTTGATAGGGGACTGAGTAGTGGGAGAGGACTTCGGTTCGAATCTCACCAACATCATCTGGGGAGGGGCATAAGTACCATAATCTTTGGACTCGCACCCAAACTCTGAATTAGTCTCATAGGCGGCTCAAAGAGTCGAACCCGTAAGAAGTAATTAGGATCAGTTTTCAAAAAAAAAAAAAAGTAAATGAGTATATATAATCATTTTATCACAAAGTAACAACCTTGCCGTTCCATCAAGAGTTTTTTAAGAAAAATGTTTTAAAATACATCATTTGTTACAAGTTTTTTTCTCTGACATGAGACTAATTTCTTTAGTTTATTTTTCAAACTTTTTTAAATAAGTTCTATTACATATCAGCATACTTAAAGTTTTCCAAAATTTTGGAGAGAGAAAAAATTAAAGATTGTTACTCATGAGTCAAGACATTGTGACTCTATCATTGCAAAAAAAGGAAAACAAAAAACAGAAGTCATTGTCATAACCATATCTGAGGTACAGGTAACGTGATATGATTTCCGATTTGTTTGGTTGTTTCTATTGCATTTTTTGAATGGATGGCTATAAAGAAATTCTAAACAGAAGAGGGGAAAAAAATATTAGTAATTTGTTTTGTTTTATTATTAATATAAAAGTGTAATATGTTTATTGTTTTATAGTTAAATATAGGCATATATATGTAGATTTTTGTAAGTTTATGTCCTAATTGCTTTAACTCTATTCATTGAGTCCATATAATTTGAGGGTAGAGAATGTAATATAGTAGTACTGAAAATTTACTCCATGTTTACATGTGTTATACACATATTTAAGTTTCTAGGGAACTAAATGTAATACTCTCTTAGAACTTAAGAATTTTCCTACACAAGAAAGAAAACAAACAAAACAAAGAAAAGGGTAGCAAGACATAGCCACTTGCCTGTGCTGAGACCAAAACAAAACAGAAGGGACAATTATTGTTGGGGAGGTAAGATAAGGACTGAATTGAAAGTGTTTGGCTCAGCTGCAAACTTCAAAGTAGTGGTGGTCCAAATGGGAACAAAGGGGAGAAGTGGAGAAAATGAAGACCAATTTGGTCTTCTTCAATCAGTGTATCAATATCAATCAATGGCAATGTAGTGAATCATGGATGTGACTCCGTAGTGGGCCTAGTATGTTATGAAGGCCAACCAAGCTCATCAAGATTCAAGGCTTTGAGTAACAAAATTCATGGGTTTGACTAGGGTGGGCCTAGGATGGGAATTTTTTTTATTTTTTTTTTGTATCCTTTCCTTTCTTTATAGACCTTGAGAAATTAAGCTAAAGCATCCTTTAAGACGTTTGGGCAAAAGAATAGCCCAAGCCTATTGGATAATTTTTTTTAAAATTAATGCAGTTAAACACGTCACGAGTACTAACAGGACTGATATCATGTCAGCGTCAAATCTCGTTACCTTAAAACTTCGAAATGTCATAACTTTTTACTCGGGTATTTAAATCAAGTGATTTTTTTTTATTTCACATAACCTTTCGAGATCTACGCAATGACACCTCATTTGACATATTTTATATCCCACAAACATAGTTTGAATTTGTTATTTCCGATTTAAACATAGAATCTACAAAGTTCTTTCCGAACTAATACCATGAGCTGCATCATGTGCCATCGATTTCTTGACCTAGTTTTCCCACAGTTAGCCTCTGAGGCAACAATTTTTTCGCAAACAAGATCAGTACTTTAGGGCTTTTCGTAAGAAGAAATGTTATCTGTTGTTGCCTGTGCGCGTTGATGGAGAGGAAACCACTGTCGTTTGGAAGTTGAAAAATAAGAAAAGGAATTAAATAATATCATTCATATAGATAAAACGTGTCAATCGATGGCATGTGTTGTAGCTCATGGTGTTGGTTTGGAAATAACTCGGGAGCTTCTGAATTTAAACGCTTTAATGATTGTGGTACCATTGTTATAAATTAGAACTGTGTTTGTGGGAGATAAAATATGTCAAATGATGTGTCATTGTATAGATCTCGAAAAGTTATATGAAATAAAAAAATCAGATATGGTCTTCTGAAGTTTTACGGTAACGAGACTGCCTACATACTGCTGATATGGCATCAATCACGTCAGTACTGGTGATATATTTGACTACATTAATTAAGAAGCAATTCTTTTTATCCAAAGGTCTTATAATAGTGCTTTTGCCTAAGAAATTCAGTTGATTTTTTTTTAGTCTTATTTTTCAAGGTAATGAATTGGAAATTTGGAAGAAAGAAAACAAATATCTTCATAGAATTTGTTAAAAGGCATTTCCTGCCTATGTAGCACCGATACCGACACGGGACACGTGACACGATACGACACGACACTCCGACACGTTAATTTTAAAAAATGTTAGATTTCGACACGTTAGGACACGTTTTGATATTAAATAATATTTTTAATTTATGTAGTGTATATTATATTTAATATTCAATAATTTTAAAAAAATGAATCTAAACTTATAATATTCATAATTTTTGCAAAAAAAAAAAGATATCCCAAATATTTATATTAAACTCAATAAAATAGTAATCGTAATCTAACGAATCTAATAGTTGAAACTAAAAACTCAACGCAACACAACCTTTGAACCTTTTTTTTAATTTCTATAACGCGGGTTGGAGTGTCGGAGAGTGTCGAAGTATCCGAGAGTGTCGACAAGTGTCGGACACGACACGTCAAGCTTTTTGAAGTGTTGGTGCTTCATAGTTTCCTGCTTTCACCATTTTGTTTGACCAAAATATTGAGTTGAAAATAAAAATTGAGTAAGATGCATCCTTCATAGCTTCTACAGGAATTGTAATTAGTTAGTTGCTTGCTTGTATAAATTGGGCTTGGAATATAAAAATATAATTCATTTGTGAAATAAAATTAAGAATCTAGCGAAGTTAGACAATCTATTAAATATTTCCTAAAAGTTTTTCCGGTATTATTGTCACATCAAACGGCAATTTTTAAAACTTTAACTTTTTATTACTTTTTTTAGTTTTTGACTTTTTATTTTTTTTCATTCATGTTTTTTGACCTTTTCATTTCTAACCTGATTTTTTTACTTTTTTCCAATAGTAATAAAAATGTAATTATAAGTACTCAATTTCAATGTTATTCTATTTTTTATTTAACAATAACCACAGAAGAAAATGAAAATCAGGAGTGTGAAACAATCTTTAGTTGGTGACTTGACACTAAAATAGAAGAGTCGTAATGATCTTGTAAATGCTTCTTTTGAAAACAAACATATTGATAGCCACTTTCAGTCCCAAAAGGACCTTTTCCACAATCAGGACATAGCAATATATAGTAATGCTTCCATTGTCTTTGATAATAAATGAACTTGAACCAAACATTGTTACTTTTTCCCACCAATCTAATCACAAGGGTAGCCTATTCTGTACCACAAATGATATTTCTCATAAGAAATACCAGTTTAATTCATTAAATATAATAGACATAATATCATATTTAGCTTAACATATTTACATGGATAATAAGCAAAATCACCAACTCTCTATACAGGACATTCTCGTGGTGATGACCTAAAAAAAATTTAGAAGACACTCAGATCCAACCGCATTATATTACAAAAGAACATGCTCTTTACATATCAAACCTTCTCAAGAAACACAAGGTTTGCTTTTTCTGCATTTCCCTTAAACTACTCACAGATATTCTTTCTACTTCTTAAGTTAAAGTCATTTTTATAATTGATCATACTTAGCTCCCTCGTCTATGTACACTTCTCTGGATGGAATTTAAGCAACAGCAGGGATGCGCGAATTCTGGCGATCCCTGTTGAGGCAATCAAAACCTTCTACTCTAACTGCAGCTGGTTTAATACCAAAACTCATCCTAACACACCCTCCTTTACGCGATGCAGATGAAGATGGAGATGGTAAACCTGAAGGTGATAAAATTGCTGATATAGGAGTGTGCTTTTCATCTCCAAATCTAGCATCCTGGACCAAAGGATTAGCAGCCCTCATTGGAGGAGATCCGCAAAAAAATGGAGGAGATGAAGCTGCCTGATTTGCAAATTCTTCTCCATAACTCTCCTGTTGAAATCAAGATACCAATTATGTTAAAAGTCAGAGGACATCCATTACACCAAAATCTTAGTAAATGCCATTTATCAGAAAGATAACCAAAAATTTTAAGTGAAGAGCCAAAGACTACAAAGTTTAGATATATATCAAAAATGGGAATAGATCCTCTCATGCGACACAAAGTCATGTGAGAAGATCACAACCATCGAAATACAAATCAACGGTAAATCATTTTAATTCATTCTTACATCACTGTTGATTTGTATATAGACAGACAAGATCCTCTCAAACGACCTCATGTTACGTGAGAGGATCCATTCTCATCAAAATTTGTCATCCCAAAAAGACAAAGCATGTATCATATTAAGAATCCATACATTACTAGGATACTAAGATTATCCTAATTGACATTTATTTATCCTCCCATGTTTAAACATAAACTGGACAATTTGTAACAAAGTCATAATTTACCTTCTTGAACATAATGTCTAGTAGCTCTGCCCCAGCTTTTGAATCAGAACCATCAGCTTGTTGACTACCAAAAATAGAAACAAATAACAGATCAGACCCTCAAAGGCTTCCAGAAAAACAAAACAATGTCATAAAAACTCAAAAGACAAGCAATTGAATCTAATAGTTACTTGAAATGCCATCTTAAGTGCCTCATAGGATAGTTAGATAAAACCCCAACTCGCCGTGGCTTAGGGCAAATGACAGGCTCCTTCTGATCAATAAGGTTAGTAGAGCCTCTCATCTCTTCACATGCTGCAAAGGCATTCTGCTGAAGACTATAACAGTTCATCTTCAAAATCGGTTTTATTCCACAGAAGAACGCCTAAACACACAAAAATATACTCAGAAAAAAAAAATTGTACAATATATCTATGTAAATATAGATGGAACACGATTCTAGCTATTAAAATCCAAATTATTTGCAAAGAAATTGAGAGCATATTAGAAATTATAAGACCCTCAACATTTTAAAAAATATATAAAATAAAATAAAAAAACTAAACTTTAGAATGAAATTCCACAATCCATTTCACTCTTTCCCAATTTTCCAAAACCTACAGACAAGGGTATAATAATTTTAACAAATCAAAAACAGATCTGAGCTAAAACATTGAAGAATATTAAAACTTTTCTCCAGGGTCATGAAAACCCTTGATTGCAAACCGCAAGAAACAACCTTTGGTTTGAAATAACCCACAAAAAAACAATGTCTCCATTATTAAAAAACCACCAGACACAGAACCCAATAAAGGGGTAAATAGATCTTCAATTACCACCCACAAGAAAAATGAAAAAAAAAAGGTTAAGAGTTAAAAACATTTAAGCAGATCTGTCCTAAGAAACATGTTATGTTTGCATTTCCAAACCAAGGAGACATCGTTAAGAAAATTTGAAGAAAACGATGATGTTAGAATCTGGGTCAGATCTGAAACAAACAACGTTGTAAACATAAACATGTTAGAGAGAGAGAGAGACAGAGAGAGAGAGAGAGGGTACCTTGAGGGAGCTGGCAGCAACGAGGAAGGAGAGGAAGGAAACAGTGGCAGCTGGATTTCAATTTATATTGAAAAATGTGATGTTGTGCAGTTTGGGGGGAAAAAGGGGTCATACGACGTCGTTTTCTACCATGTGATTTATGTATGTATTATATATAATTACCTAATTGGGCATTGCATCTTGAGCTTAGTATTCAATTCGATGCTTACTTTGATTTTAAATGAGAAATGTTATGGGTTGTTGTAGCTTAATCAATTGTATTAAGTTTGAATTATAAGTATATAATTATATTAAAATTTAATAAAAAACTATTTTTTTTATTTCTATCAATTTAATCAGATAGTTAGAAATTACAAAAAAAAAAAAAAAAAACTAGAAATGCTATTTAAGAAAAATGACATGATGAGTAAGACTTTCGCATGATATTGAGTTTTAAAGGGAGGAATTACTTTTTATCTTGTTGTATATTCTCGTGGATAGCTAACTCTGATTCTCTAATAAGAGAAGGAAGAAGCATACGTGATAATTTTGGTAGAATTATGAATGAAAAGATGAGAGGCTTATTTTTATAATATATTTTATGTTTTTGTTTTTAAATTAAGTAAAAAAAATTTATGTGAATGAGTAAACACTGATTGGCATAAAAAAATTATTAGCTATTAAAGCAAAAAAAAAAATTATTAGCTAGCATGCTAATCAGAAACATTTAATTTAAGAGTGTTAACATGTGTAAAGTTGCATATGCCATATTAAAAATGCATCAATTTCTAAAAACATTGTAGTTAAAAGTTGATTTAAGCGCATACGTATAATAAAAAAGGGAAAGGGAGTGAGAAGAAATAAGATTTTTTTAAAATAAAAAAAAATTAGAGAAATAAAATTAGATTAAATTATTTTATGTTAATGAAACTTTAATAAAAAAAATTATACATCATAACATATTTTTTAATGGTATCCAATTTGTGCCTCTCCCACGTTATTTTCTTTTATTATCTTTACTAGTTAGCTTCTATTTCTTTTTCATTTCTCATGCTAAGTCTCATCATCTAAGTATTTTTGAAAATTTTATAAATTTTCCTGACATTATTTTCCCTTTTACCTTCATGTCACTGTTGTAGAGAAAATTCAAAATTTGATACTATAGTTTGCTAAAAAAATTGTTTTACTTGTTGAAATTTGTTTAATTGGATCTTTGTGGTAAACTCATGACTCAAACCTCATGTACTTAATTTTATTGGCACGATTATATTTTGGTTGTGCCGAATAGTAAATTTTTGTAATTATATTTAGGGATTTGTCTAGAACTTTGGGATAAATTAGTTGTATGTTTTTTTTTTTTTATGATCATGTAATGGTATTGATAAGGATCTCTAATACATTCTAAAGATTATTAGAAGCTTAATGACTAAAAGATAATAACCCACTGTGGGATGTAGCCCAATAACATAGGATGAAAAAATTATCTATAGTTACATAAATGAGTTATGCCAAAATTATAATATTTAAAATTATCAAACATTACATATATGTAATATTTTTTTATGTATCATAGCTCTTATTTTGCAAGGGTATTCCATTGACTCATCTTGTCTAGAAATATTTTTCTCGATTTAAAAAATTAATTTTCTTGACTATGCATATATTTAAATTATATTTTATGAGAAATTTTATAAACCTTTTCAAGCAGACAAATATGCATATACCTACAAAAGGATTCCATAATATTTCTAAAAAAAAGAATTATTTCAAAATATGTTATTAATTAAATTTGATATAATAATAAAAGTAAGTACAACCACAGTACTACTCCTTCGAATCTCAATATAACTTCTTTTTTTTATGAAAAATGATAACATGAATTTCAATATCTCACAATATAAGAAAATTACATGAAAAATTAATTTTTTTTTATATTAAATGATACATTAGAAAAAAAAAATTATTTTATTTTATTTAAATGAATTAACCTGTCAATCAGCCTCAGAAAAAGGTGTATTGATATTTTTAACCAAGTAATCAATGATGGATTGACTCATCATACCAGCTATATTTATGGCAGAAACAATCACCTTATGGGTTTAGAAACACATTTAAAATAAAATAAAATAAAATAGATATTTTGTAATATTTTGAGTTTGTAACCCTACCTATTCTTTCAGTTTTGAGTTTAAAATCGTAGCAATTATAAATATGTTGTAAAATAAAATAAAATAAAGCAAAACATGGTAATGATTAAGAGCATGAAAGGGCTTTAATTCCGAGAGACAAAAAGACCAGAATGAGTGGACCGGTGATTATTTCTAGATATTCTAGAAATACACCGAAGGAGCAGGGAATTGATATTCTCATGTGAAAAAGTGATAATGTAGTCATGTTATTTGATCACAATTACTCATTCATGATGATATAAGAAAGAGAAAAGTGTATAAATTTTAAATAAATGATTGTGATTAAATAACATGATCACATGATTACTTTTTCAATTGAAAAGATTGACGGAAGGGGCATGATTCATAGACCAAGCTGGCCTCCACAGAAACAAATCTCACTTTGACTTTTTCCGTCAAAATGAGGAATTAATTATTTTCCATGAAAACAAAGGAATTTCTTCTTATGATGAATCCATCGACACGCGCGTAATTTGCGCACAGAAAAAGTGGGTGCACATTGAAATCCTCAAGCATCTCTTCACTCTTGACTTCATTATCAATTCACGTTGTGAAACGTGTCGTGATTTTTTATTCTTCGAACCCCACTTCCTTCTGAACATAATAAAGGTGAGCACGTTCAATATGTCAGATTCGTGTCTGAGTTTCCTTTCATATATATATATTTATTTAGTATACGTATAGAATAATAATAAATATTATAATATTTGATTTCTTAGATATAAAAATATGTATTTAATTTAAAAATTTACATAATTTACAACATGTAAAATTGTTTTTATGTTAAAAGATAACTTTAAATGAAATATTATATTAGATTTTTTTTAATTATTTGTATTGTCTTTAAATTGTCAAATAAAATTTAAAAATTTACTTCAATTAATGTCATTTTCAACTCAATCTTTTCACATGAAATGACATTGCTTTTAATTACATTTAATTTGCTATTCCATTTGTTAACGTCAAAATGCGTATTGATTCAATCACAATATAGTAAATGTCACAACCAACATCTTGAAAGCTCCTTCAGCTAACCCGTCCACACACACACACACACACACATATATATATATATATATATATATAATCTTAATTAATTTATCAATTAACATGATCGACTCACACAAAAGCACAAGGACATCAAAACTCTCTTTTTATTAAGTTTTTAACATAATTATATATCCATAACTTGAATTTGAGACCACTAATTAAAGTGAGACAATAATTTATCACTTCATCTACTCACTTTGTGGTATATGCTTTTAGGTATTCGATGATTGCACCAACCAAAAAATTTAAACCAGTAATTTGTAAACACTTAAAAGGTATAAATTATAATAAAGTAGGTGATTTGTCAAAATAAAATTAAAATAGTAGAAGAAAAATTAGAAAGCGTATACCCTCCAAAAAAAATTTGAAACTCAATGACAGATTTAGATTTGGGACAGTAAAGTGATGTTAATATGTTATTAAATCGGGCGTAAAGTTATACTAAACCAAAGGCAACAAAGTCTTTTCTTCTGTAAGTATTTTTTTCTTTCGGTTACCAAGATATCCCCATTTATTTGGATGAGATTAATCATCTTCATAGCATAGATGTGTGAGTTGCATTCAGGAACTCAAATAGCTATCAAAGGATTGAAGTATCCATCTAATTCACTTGACACTAATAATAGGGAGAGCAATTTCTCTTGTCAAACTTCCCTTTAAATAATCCCTGGTTTTACCCTTTTCCTCTTTGTAGGGGTTACATTTTCTTTGACAATAGTAGAATTTTTTTTTTTCCTACAAACCATTCGAACTTCGTACCTTACCATTTAAAAAAAATAAAATAATAATGCACCCACCATTTTGTTTTCTCTGCAAAAAAAAAATGCAAATTTCTCCGGTAAAAGAAGAAACATAAAGCCCCTCTTGATATTTTGCTCATCGTATTTTATTTAGTGAGTTTATGTGGAGGTGGTTGCTCATCTATTTCACTATCCTTTTCGTTTTATTAATATTTTTTTCATTTCACTTAGTGAAGATATTTACTTATTTAGAAACAAGAATAAGATAAAAAAATAATTAATATGTTTTAAAATATACATAATTAAAATAATAATTATTTCAAAATAAAGAGAATATTCATAAGTAGTCATAAATATTCATTGATACTTCATGTTAAAATTTTACATATATGTGAAATTTGTATTTATTAATTTCTTTATTTACATTAAATAAATAAAATCCAATCAACATAATGAAGAGAGTGATAAATGCGGTTGGCGTAGCCCCTAGAGACGTAAGGCCTGAAGTGCTTAATTATTGTTTGGTTAAGGCGAAAAGCACGAAGGCGACAATATAGCAATTTGCACTTTTTGATATAGATTTTGGGGCTTTAAGGGTGTGTATGATAATCTTCTTGAATTTTTTTATTTTATTTTTTAGCTCCAGGAAACAGAAATGGATAGAAAACTTATTTGTTAAAATCGGTTTATTTTATGATCCCGGGATGAACCGATTTAATTTTTGTGCTGCGGAACAGAAAAAAGAATCAATTTTTTTTTGTTTTTTTGTTTTCGGGCACAAAATGAGAAGCTTTTATCTCTCTCAATTACTCTCCACCACTACCATCATTATCACCGCCACCACCATCTCGACACGACCACCGCCACCATGGTCGTACCACCACCACCACCTCCACGTCATCACCACCATCATTATCACCACCACCATCACCGACACCACCATTATCACTACCACCATCACCAACCACCACCACCATCACAGTAGCCACTGCCGCCACCACCACCACGATGTCACCACTACTACCGTTGCCGCCGCCACCATGTCATCACCATCACCATCGTCGTAGCCACTGCTGTCAC